TGTGGAAAAGAAGTGGGTTGTGCCCACCAAAGCTCATGACACCATCTACATGTTGTGTTAGTCTCTAAGGTGCTGCTAGACTATTCGTTGTTTAAGTTTTCCCAGTTACAGACTAACTCGGCTACCACGCTGTTTGCTGTCCACCATTCTCCTATCTACTCTCATGCCTGATTCTGAGGTCTTCTTTTATTATTTACTGGTTACCTAGTCCCTCAGCTCATACCCTCCTGCTAGCTATCCTCCCTCAGTGTATGACACACCCTTGTCATCTCCCCTGTCTTTCCATTTATCTGCAAGGACACTTTATATCCTCAGTTTGAAACAAACCTTCCCTCAACCCCATTTGGCACTTCAGCTTAACTGTCCTGTGTTGTCTCCCTCTTCCTCTACATTCGTATAGTCTTTAAATGTGCTTTTACTTCAACTCCTTCCTACATGCCTGAGGTTTCCATGGCTCTGGACTCTCTTTGTTCTCTTCCTTCATTATGACTCACATCTCTTCTAAAGGCTCCTTATCTGTTGGCTTCCATTAAGGTTTTGTCCTAGATCCCATCCTCCTCTTTTCTCCACTCCATCGAGGCAGCCTTATCCATTTCCATGCTAAAGACTCCTACATTTACTACCAGTCTCTGAAATATATTTTACTGTGTAATCACCAAGATTATTTATGTGCCTAGTGCTGAAGATGGCTGTCCAGATATTGGCAGTAGGAGAGCCTTGCCGTGGTGGCTGCAGACAAGCTTCTCACTTGCTTTTCATGCTGACTTCAATCCCCGAAGCTTTGTTTACTCTTTAAAAAATAAATCTTTGGTTCTTTTCTGTAATAAATAATTGGCAGTGCTTTCCATTGGTCCCAGGTTGCTCTTGGTTTAAACTAAATCTTTTTTCAGTGATGTGTCCCCCACCAAAGCTTAGAAATGCCAATTGTAATGAAAAACTTAAATGCCTTTTGCACGGTGAGAGGTGCTTCTCACCCTGTGAACTTTCACACTCTTGGCCTGAACAAATGGCTGCGGTTCTCATCTAACAACCAGAGCAGCTGCGCCATGGAACAGATTCCAGAGAGAGGTGGTTGAGGCACCATAGCTGCCGAGATTCAAGGACAATGTAATGAGATCTTTACTGGAAACGAATTAGGGATTTTCACAAGTCCTCTTGCAGTACTGGATGAGGAAGATTGTAATTCACCTTTCCTCTCATGTACTAAGCTTGCATGTCCCAGGCTGCCTTGCTATGAAAGGGGAGTGTGATCGAGCATTTTCAAACTCATTTTTAAGGAAAAGTTGCTAGGAGGGTTTATACAATGAGTCCAAATCACAACAGATTGCAAAAGCTAGCAACACACTTAACTAAGTCCCTAATTCATTTCCTGGTGTAAAGAGATTAAAATGTTTTCAGATCTCTGAGGGAGCATCTACACTGCACCCTTAACCTCAAAATAGCTTATTTTGGAATTTGGCGCCATCTACACAGTGACAAATTTTGAAATAAAGTGCTATTCTGAAATGTCCCTTAATCCTCGTGGGAGATGGAATAACGTGCCTGTTATTTCGAAATCTGTTTTGAAATAATGGGCTGCTTTAAAGGTACAGAATAGCTATTCCAAAATATCTCCACAGTGTAAAGGTAGCCCTAAAGAGAGACTTATTTAAATAAGCCACATTTTCCTGATGTAGCATCCTTTAAAACAGTAGGTCCTAAAATATTTTTAATTTAAAATTATTTTTTCCTGCTCCACCCTGATGTTTAGAAGGGCCCTAAATGGGTGAAGGACAGCAACAACATCACCAAACTTACTTGGGCCCATCCTTCTGCCTTTTCCCTTTCTTTGTGTGCACAAACCGGTCAACAGACTCTTTGTCACTGGTTAGTTTAATATTTGCTGCTGTTGTTACCAACAAGCCCCCTGTTTTCAGAGTTGGGAGAAAAGTGTGTGTTAGGATATGCTCCATCCACAACGGCCGTGTATGAGAATGATACTATTGTGCAGGTGCATAATAGGAGATGTGCAACTGATCATCAGGAACCAGTGGATGTTGGCTATATATGGAGAATTGTCAAACACACACTGTGAAAACAAAAATATCAATAAATGTAATACCAAATACATTATTTTTCTCTTGTCTCTTTAAGTTATAGCAATCTTAAGGGTAAAACATACAAATAGGTGTAAAAATAAATCAGGTAGCTAGAAGGATTTTAATGTTTAATCTGATTTACGGTGTACTCTGTTTTTACCACATTTGTCACTCAGCTACTTGAGCACCAGCAATCCTGAGGGGTCAGGTTGCAAATGTAGCTTTAGCTTGAATTAAGTGATTTTCCCAATGAACATCTGGGTTTAAATGTGAAACACGTGCAAAGTAGACACAAGGGGAGAGAGTGCTGAGATCTGAGGGCCATTGCAAATAGTCCCTTGCAGGCCCCCAGCATGCCTTGAAAGAGGAGTTACTCTTGCTGAGCCAAAGGTTCTCTCTGGCTTGCGTTCTGCTCTCCCCTATGAATGGCATTTTCTCTAATCAGAAGAGGTCAAAACAGGGCTCATCAGAAACCCTGAACCAGATGAGCGGAAACGTTTGTTATTTCAGGAACTATTTCGCTGCTGTCAGTAAGGTGGCAGATGCACAAAGAGCAACTTCCAGCTGAGCGCGGCTCCTCCAGCAAAAGCACTTACCCGCATGCTTAACTTGGAGCACATGGCCAATGCCAATGGGACTATTCACGGGGCTAACGTTAAGCATGTTCTTTCCCATTGTGTGGGATCTGGGCTGGAATGCTCAGCACCTTGCAGGACTGAGCCTGAGCTTAGCACAGCTGCTAACTCCTCAGCCGCAGAGTCCCATTCTGAGTGCCAGCTGTGGGACAGAGCAGGATGCACATGGGTAATGAAGCCAGATATCAGACAAGGCAGAACTTTGCTAATGGCTGAGAAGTGCTCTGGCGCTTTGCTGTAGCTGACAGATAAGCAGCAGCAAGTACGACGTGCATCACTGGAATTAATACTTTGTGGTTTTCTCCTTCCTACAATAGTCATGGTTTGATGGCTGCACAGTGCTTCCAGTTTGGGGTTCTCTTCAGTCCTGCCCCCACTTGAAGTCAATGGGAATTTCACCTTTAATGTCAGTGAGAACAATTTCCAGAAAGCTGCCTGCAAATACCGCCCAGCTTTCGGTGTATGTACAGTACTGACATTTTGTTTGGGCATCCCACATGTTCACAGATAGACATTTGGCACCAGCATTCAGGGGCAGCTATTTTTGAATCTGTGGTATAACTTGGTTTATTATACCCACAATAAAATGACTGTTGTGACACCATCATCTCTGTGAACAGTTGGAGTGGGCTGCTATCTCTAGACACACACAGTGCGGGTGGAGAGACACATTTCCAGAGCCTGAAACAAAATTGTTAACCGTGAAAATCAAAGGCTTATTAATTTTGTATTTTTTTAATAACCTTGTACTTTCCTTGGTATTAGTCAGAGTCCTTAAGTAGGAAACAAATTGACCTCACTTAGGAATCTGATTTTTGTTCTTTTTATTGTGCATCAAAACTGCACCTGCTTCCACAGTCAGGAGACCCATTGCAGGGGTAGCAGTGGGATTTGCTCATTAATTCTTAAAAAGAAGAGCAAGAACTCTGCCATTCAGTCACATGAGTGGTAACTTAGGGTGAGGCAATTCTGCAGGTAAGAAATGGAATTTTACATTCCTTTAGCACCAAGCAATGAATAGTTACTTTCGATCACTTAAGTAGTTTGACAGCCAAATGCTTCTTTCCTATTTGGAAACTGAACTATTACTCCCGAGGAAATTCTGCACCCCCCCACCCCACCCCCAAAGAAAACTTCAACAAAAATTAAATCTTCTGCACACAGTACTTTAAAAATTTTGCAAAATTCTGCATATTTTGTCATAAGAACACACTATAATCACACTGGTTTTAGTTCTTTTTGGTCATTCATTTCAAAATACCTGTCAGTAAGTATACAGACGACAAAAATATTCAGGAACGGTTGTTTAACAAATAGATTCATTACTAGGCATATTGGTACAGTACTCTTAATAATAATTCATTTAAACTACAGTATAGAACCGTATTTCCTGCAACCCTCAGAAGCAGTGCAAAGGCTGGGGGAAGTCGGGGTAATGGAGAAGTTGAGGGAGAAAGGAAGTAAATTGCTACGAAGGAGCCTGGGTGTGAACTTGGAGGGTTGTCGGGGGTGGGTGGGAAAAGTATGAAATGGGTTTCTGTAGGCGGTGTGGAGGGACTTTTAGGGATTATTAGGGATCTTCCCCCATGCAGACCCTGGCTGATCCCTAGCCTCTCCCATTTACTCAGGCACATGTGTCTCTTCACCTTCATGTGTCCTTGCACCCCCTGCCCACATGTCTCTCCACCGCCCCCCCCACTCAGACTTGATTCCCCCATCTCTCTGTGGCCCTGTATCCTTTCCTCTTGTCCCCATCTGTCTCTGTGCTCCCACTCAGCTACCCGGTCCCTTTGTAGCTCTGCATCCCTCCCCCATCATTATTGGCCCTGCACCTCCTTTCCCCTATGGCTCTGCCTCCGTGCCCATTCAGCCCTTGCCCCCCTAGCCCTCATGAACCCCTGTCTGGCCCCCTGGCAGCCCACACTGTCTGTCTTCCCATAGCTCCTGTCTTCTGTCCTGGTCCAAAAGGCGCTATGAAGAAGGCTCTGCAGGCTCTTTCCTTCCCTAGCTGGCTGAGAGTGGCTGCTCTGTTCTGTTGCTGCAGCTCCCACTGGTGGACAAAAGGAGAAAATGAAGACACTAGCTTCTGCTATGAACTGCTTTTGTTCTAGCACCCTCTCACTGCAAAATATTAGCAACATTTCAATAGAAGCTTCCCCCCCCCCCACAAAAAATAAAAAATGTGCATGACTCATTAATTATGCATGTGTGCAGTCACATAGAATTCCCACAGGAGTTAAATGTGTCCCTTTTTAATGTTGGAATCTACCTTTTTCTCTCTTTGCAGTTATGTGGCTGTGGACTGTTGGGCGTGGGAATATGGTTGTCGGTGTCACAAGGAAACTTCGCCACATTTTCTCCCAGCTTTCCATCCTTTTCGGCTGCCAACGTTGTCATTTTCATTGGCACAGTCATCATGGTGACCGGCTTTTTGGGGTGTCTGGGTGCTATCAAGGAAAACAAGTGCCTCCTTTTAAGTGTAAGTCACCTGTATTGGAAGTAAGTTGTACATTTTTAGCAGCGTGGGTTATTAGCCATTAGAACTTTTTGGTTGCATTCTTCATTAGTGGTGGTTTTTGAATTCTAAAATATATGCTCTAGTTCAAACAGAGATATTTTTGAGGCAAGTCTGTGGAGGCCAGGCTTAGATGATCACAGTGGTCTCTTCTGGCCTTGGACTCTACGGCTCTGAGACTCTAGGGAACGACGATCTCTACCTTGGAAACGGAACCCTGATTCCCTGGTTACTTTACAAGTGACCTGTATGGAAAAGAATGCATTAGAGAAAATGTTTCTATTGACTTTTAAAATCAATGTATGGAATTCTATAGCAGGTATTCTCTATTAAACTCTGCAGAGTGAGTTAAAAATCCTCCTCCTCTTGTGCTGTGTAATGATAGTTATATAGTTAGAATGATACCACTACTTGGTTTTATTCAAAGAACTATGTATACATATTTGTTTCTTTTTATAAACATTTCCCTCATGTAGGTAACACAGCAAATTAAACGGGAAATACAAACCAGGAACAATTCTCAATGTACAGTTCATCACAAACCAACTGCCAGGCAAGAAACTGACTCATCCAGAAATCTCAACATTAGAAGAATTGTCTTGAAAGCATTCATGATAACTCCAATAATCTACCGTCAGTCTTTATCCCTCCCCGTATTAAAGCCCAAGAAAAACACTGTGCCCCAAAAGTTCTCAACTCTGGTCACCCCTAGGCCACACAGATTAATAATTCTCAACTCTGGGTAGATGAAAACTGGTGCGTGAATTCTAGACTCTGCTGGCAGCCCATTCCTGTTTAAACCTAGAGGACTCTAGCTTAATCACCGCTACTAGTTGGAAGTGCAAAATCTTCACGTGATAGAGCCAGATTCTAAGCCAGTTAGGGATTACTGAATCACAGCGGCAGAGTTGTTATGAAATAAATGTGATTTTTTTAAAAATAGCTCCTTAAAAAATCTACTTATGTTGTTAACTTCACTTCAGGTTGTTAGAGGAGAAGGAAGTGGGAAGATGCTCTTCTCTGTTTATGCTGTTTCTTTATATTTTGTGTTTCATTCAGCGTGGGCAGCTTGGGTAATTTTTATTCTCTGGATCTCATACACTTAGCTACTATGCTACTCTTTGAGTTTCCAGTGTAAAGAAATGTTTCTTGTTTTAAAAAATCATCTTGGTTGAAATTTTAAAAAATGGTGAACTTATCCCTATTCGTATTAGTAAAACACAAATCTAAATGGTTCACTAAAAGCTATTTGCCATTGCATCTTTATACTGTACTTTGAAAGTGCCTCAGAAGGTAGTAAGAAAAGAGTTAAGGGCTTGTCTACATTGTCCCACTACTTGGAGTCTCAGGACAATAATCACTATATGCATCAAAGAGCTGTGCTGTAACCACCTAGTGTGGATGCTGCAGATACAAATTAAAACAAAAGGAACAGCTGGCCCAGGGCCAAGTGATTTAAAAGGGGCCAGGGCTCCTGGCCACTGCTACTGCAAGCCAGGCAGCACTGAAAGGCTGTCTGGGGGAGGCTAGCCCCAGCTCTGCCCTTTCTGCCCAAGAGCCCACCCTTTCTGGGGGGCCCAGAGCCAGCCCCCCTCCACTTTGCCCAAGGCCTAGCAATTCTGTCAGCAGCCCTGCACCCCTAGCATTTGTACAAAGTACCTTCACTCCCCTGTAGTTTGAACTATGGGGCAGTGTAGACATACCCTTTAAACCCTGGAAGGGACTGGCCTGCTGGTGCACTGGAGACCTAAATACTGGAGCTCACGCTTTGGAAAGCAACCAGAGTGTATAAGTGTGTTTCCGTGACTAAGCATGTTTAGATCTACCTAGGGAAGTCTACATTGCCATCCAGAGGCATGACTCCAGCACCTGCGGACGTACCTGAGCAAGCTTTAATCTAGTGAGCTCAAATAAGAATATCAACGAAGCTGCAGCAGCACAAGCTAGCGCTAGCTGCTGCAGAACACACCCAGGGCCTATGCTGCTGTGACTTTACTGCTGTTATTATTCAGACTAGCTAAATAAAAGCTAACTCAGTTCTATGTACGCATGCTCATTGCCATGTGGACATGCCCTTGGTGATTTGCTGCAAACTAATACTAAGCTATGAAAAATGCTTTGAGATCCTTATTAGGAAGGTGCTATAAAAGTGCAAAATAATAATTCAGTTTTTGAACAAAGGAGCAGTTAAATTCAGCTAAAGCTGGGCATTTGTTCCTATACCAGGGGAAATTTATCTTTGTGGCAGCAGGCCTTGTGTTTGTGTTCACTTTGCTGAACATACTGAGGAACATACTGGTACAATCTGATTTCTGTGCCCCTAGCCAGTGAACTGCACAGTCAAGATATGTAAACAGTGTGACATAAACATTGCTAAAAGACAGTTTTATTGTTCTCCCTCTGAAGGTGGAGAACAATAGTTAGGCTTAAACCACTGTCTAATGAAAGCACAGTCTGGGGAAATGACAGTACTGCAGGAGAATAACAATATGATTAATTTAGTTTAAAATTTAGTAATTTTGAAATCTAATTTGTAAGCTTTGCTGAATGTGGGGAAGAGGTAGGTGGGGAGTCAAGGTTAGGATATGTTCCTAGGATTTGAATTGCAAAGTAACACAGACTTTAAAAACGCACACACACACACACACACATAAATACAGACACACAAACCCCCAAATGTATAAGAGATGGATGACTGGATTACAGGAGGGATAATTCATCAGTGGGAAAATGATGTGAAATATATACTGCATAAAAAAGTTCTGTGTAGGGCAAATAAATGACTGCAGTCCTCTCAACCATCATGATTTTCACATGAAATATTTGGGATTCTTGTTACACCTACTGTCTGTATTGCACTGAAATTGTGTTTTCAATCTGGTTTGTCAAGGCCAGGGGCCCTTGACTAGCATGCTTGAATTAGTTCTTTATTCAGGTAGCATGTATCCATGTTTTATTTCTCTTTGTTCTAGTTTTTCATCGTTCTGCTGATAATTCTCCTGGTAGAGCTGATATTACTCATTTTGTTCTTTGTTTATATGGACAAGGTAAGCAAATATGTCCCGTAGATTAGTTTATCAGTTCTGGCAGCTAAGCTGGTTTTTGTTTGCTTTTGTTAAACAAAGATTCTTCTTACTCAGTGGAAATAGCTTTAACCTTGTGATCTTCACTTTTATGTGTGCCTCCTCTGCATGTTGTCTGAGAGTAATTATTGATTACGGTGGAAGGATTCTCTGAGAGGGTTGAGGTAAAACTTGAGTTTTGCAGTTTCCTGCAGAAACCAAAAGCTGGGACCTCTATTTTGTCCTTCCCTCCTAGGCTTGCAGTCTCCTCAGTTTAAGTTGTTGCTGTCTCCTTGTGAAGTTTGTTCTTGCAACCCTCCTCCTTCATCACCAGCAATGTCTGAGTGGCTGGATGACCATGCAGTGGTTCTTAAGGCCAGATACCCCGTTCTTTCCACCACCTGTTTTCACAGGCAGGTTAAGTGGAAAGATAAGCCCCTTTCTATCCCCCGTAGTGCCCAGGTTTCTTGCTAGAAAGCTGCATTCTGCCTAGCCAGAATGGGATGAGTGGCATCACAGTGTCACGGCATGCTGAAACCTTTTTAGGTTCATTATTACTATTGAGTAAGGGATAGGCAGGCAGCTCGCTCCTCAAGGACATCCTCGGTATTCAGAGGAGCAGATCTTCCTTACTGGCCGCATGTGATGGCAGAAAATAGCAGGGAGCAAATCATCTGCCCTTTCCAGCCCCTTCACAAGCCAGCTAGTCATCCCTTGAAAAGACGGGGAGGGGCCTTGAAGAAATGAGAGGTTGGAAGTCTACAAAAACAAGCTGATAAATTGAGGATGGAGTCCTGTGGGGAAGGAGCCTTTGGCCTGACCGGGGCTTACTTGGATGCACGTTTTAAGAAAGCTTCACAAACTTTTCAGTGGGGTTGGCTTCATTGCACCAGTACCCTAGTCAGCATGATGAAAGCTAGCTTGGGTATGTCTACTGAAGCCCCACTCGTGGGCGGCAGGTAATGAAGGCAAGGGTAGGCATTGTCTTTGGACCCCACCCACATGTTGCCCCAGCCTTTCCAGCTGGCCAGAAGTGTGGCTGCCTGGCTGCTCTGGGGGCTGGAGCAGAGTCAGGTCTGAGGTGTGGCTGCCTGGCTATTCCAGGAGCTCGGGCCATGGCACAGCTGTTCTGGGAATCAGATCATGGCCAGGGAGTAGCCATGCAGCTGCCCAGCTGCTTTGGGGGACAGGGTTAGCACCATAACAGGGGCTGGACTCCGGTGGGCATGGGGTTGGAACTTGACTCCCCAAGCCAGCTGCACAGCCACCACCTATGGCCCCATTCACATCCCATGATGGCAGAAGTTTCTAATTTAATGAAATTGGAGTCCAGTGGGTTTTATTGCATATCTGACCATTCTTGTTTTGGACTCATTTAATTTCAGCTCAGTCCCTGGCTTCCTCTGAGATCATGAGCCAGTTGTTTGGATCCATGTTTTCAAAAATGTCCACTTATTGGGATATAAAATTTGAGACCTTCTGTTTTTTCAGAGGTCCTAGGCATTCAAAACTCTGACGGAAGACAGTGGGAGCTTCTGGTGCTCAGCATCCCTGAAAATCAGGCTGTAGGGGAGTCAAGTTAGATACTCATAAACTTTGGCTCCCGAAATCTGGGACTTAACTTCTCAGTGTCTCATATGCCCTATCTGTAGAATGGGGATGATAATATTTCTCTCTCTTCCCATGGCTTTGTATGCTGATTAGTTTATTGATGATTATAAAAAACGTTTAGAGAAAGGGTGCAAACTGTTACAGTGAGGCTGGGACTCTTGGGCTTTATGTTCTTAAATTAAATAGGTCAGACTCTGCTGGTAGGAAAGAATGTTGAAATTTGTAGTTGGACATTGTTGTGTCTAACTTTGCTGCAGATTTAACTCAATTTAGCTATGCTGGACTTAACTCCTCTCGAGTCATCCTAGCTTAAGAGGGAGTTCTCACTACAAAATAACTCACAAGCTGCACAGAGGGCTGCGCTTCGCAGCACAGAATGAGCTGTACTAGCACCGGCGATAGCCTATTACCATTATGGACTAGCTAGCTGAAGTGAAAAACACCACCACACTTGAGTTACTGGGGTTTGTGTGTGAGATGGGACACAAGAGCGAGGCGATACTCAAGTAAAAATGTTAACCCTATAGTAAAGAGAAGCCTCATGTTCTTATAGGTGTGTGTGCATCCATACAGCACGCATGTTGCATATGATTATGCTGCACATGTCTATGGAGGTGATCCATGTTGTCTGTCACCCTCTCCCTCCCTTCCACTCATACGTTTTTTTAAAAGGGGGGGAAAAAGTGGCAAATTATTACCTCCCAACATACACTCAGCTGTTAGCAGAGAGGAGACTGCTTGGTCCCTCTCTGTGCTTTTCTGTTCCATGTCCATAGTTTAAAAGATTTAATAAATGCTAAATCCAGAATTGGGGTGGGGGAAAACTAGAGCTTCAAAGGCAATTAGCATCCACGGCAGGCACTTTGCATTGTCAAGTGAAATGGAGTTTAGCTATAAAGGTGAGGATTCTGCTCAGTGATGTTCAGTGAGAGATCTATCATAATGTGCATCCAGAGGTGGGGATGAAGGCAACATATGTATGCAGGTTTACACATTGGATATTGTCCTTTAACTGGCTGTGTTTTGTTTTGATGGGAAACAGGTCAATGAGAATGCAAAGAAGGATTTGAAAGAAGGTCTTTCACTTTACAATACGGAAAATAATGTGGGACTGAAGAACGCATGGAACATCATTCAGGCAGAGGTAACATATTTTCTTTATTTAAAAATATTAGCTGACCATCATTTTGTTAACAGTAATTTGCTCTGTCTCATTCCATAACTGGCAAGTTGGTGATTGATATCAGTCAAATATTTGTATATCACTTTACATTCAGAAAGCACCTTGGGCATTCTGTGGGATGAAAGGTGCTTTATAAAAGTAAGATGTTTTTCATGAGATCCACTGGGAATAGCTATGTGACAGGAATATCACTACAGGAGGTTATGATCTGTATAAGAAAGATAAAGGAAGAAAAGAAATTGATGTGTTAGGATTATAATCACAAACCCTGAAATGCCATTTGGGAGCTGAAAGTAGCAAAGCCTGTGGGTTTGAGTGAAACTGGTTGCAGATGAGGCTTTAGTTGGAAACGTGTTTTCTAATGGTAAGCTCAGAGATGTGGGAGTTCAGGACTACTGGCTTCCTCTCCCGAGAGTGCCATTGACTTAGTAGTCACAATTTCTCATGTCTTGGCTTGTGTCTCTCCAAAAACTTATTTTCTAGACAGGGCTATTTATGAGACTCTTTCAATTTTTGTCCATGCTCTTTGTGATCTCCAGGCGAGAGGTGGTATCAAAGTGCAAAATACGTGGGGTACAACAGTGGGTTAAGAAAAGTAACATGTAAAAAGTTGGTTTGTGAAGCTTCTTCATGGTCTTTTTGTATTTTACTTGTAGATGGAATGCTGTGGGGTTACTGATTATACTGATTGGTTCCCAGTCCTGGGGGAAAACACTGTCCCAGACCGATGTAGTAGGGAAAACTCCCAAGACTGTGGACGGAATTCAACTGTAAATTCAGTGTGGAAAACGGTAATACTTTCTCAGTTGAACTTGATTTTGTTTTGAGTGCACCCATGAAATGGGCAAGACTTAGGTTTTATTTTTCTCTTTCAGGGTTGTTACGAGAGAGTTAAAAGTTGGTTGGAGGAACATAAGCATGTTCTCGGGACAGTGGGGATGTGTATCCTCATAATGCAGGTATTACTCTACTCTTATGTAACCCCTAACTTATTACTATTGTAGTTATCTTTATTTTGCCAAAAGATGTTGCTTGGCCCCTTACAGATCAAGTAGCCAATGTCCCTGTTTGAATTTGAGAGCTTAGAATCTGAAACTGAGCTTTAGTTTTGCTGGACCTGGAGTTTCATGGATTTATCCTGTCTGTTAGATTAAATTCCCTAATTCTTCTTATTGAATCAAATAATATATTTTGGTTTTTGGGGAATAGTGAAAACTGGTGTTTTTCATCCTTTTTTGTATTCCGCCATTAAGGGCATGAATAGCTCTGACAGAACTCATAGCTTTCAGATGCAAAATAATTATAGCAACACTGTTAATGCTGGCAAGGTGATACTGCATAATTTACTCTGGTATCCAAACCTCCTAATTGTGTGTGTGTGTGTGTGTGTGTGTGTGTGTGTGTGTGTGTGTGTGTGTCACACAGAGAGAGAGAGAGAGAGAGAGAGAGATTAAGGGATAGCTGGATTCTATCCATATTTGGTCTTAAACATGCACAAAATATTTTGCCTAAATTTTGAGGACAAAATTGGTCCAAATGTTTTTAAGTGGCCTAATTTTCTTAGCAGTTCAGATTTCTTTTCCAAGCTATAAACCACCTACGCCTGGTACTCTGTCCATACATGAGGACAGGTTACTTTGTTTTGAAAATGATGATGCCCAGTGATGTTCTAGTTATGGGCAGGCTGACAGTCAAGGGTCAGTTATAAGTGTCAGCGAAGAACACTGAATTCATAATGGTAGCCATCCACAGAAGTTCACTCATGTCTGCTGCTTTTTAAAGTATGCTGATTTCACAATGTTTATTTTACTTAAACCCATAAAGGAAAAAATCCTATAGAATTTAATTAAAGAATTAATCTGCTTTTGATTGCTACAAAACCATGTTATAGAATGTAAAAGGGAATTATGGGGATTAAGTGCAACAGGTGAGTTAAAGACAGACCTACAAAAAAGAGCTACCTCTCCAGTAACATTTGTAGATTTCTAGGGTTACCTCTGTGCTTTGGAAGAAAGCAACATCCTGCCTGCTGTACTGTCTGGTAACTGAAGAATGAGAGCTGTGTTTTTTAAAAGGCCATCAGTTTTTTGTGCCTTCATGGCACAGAATGTGACAAAGAAGATTTGGAAACCATTTCAGTTTTTTTCATAACTCTGACAATAACTGGCTGTTGTCAGAGCTACTGAAACCTTTGAGCACCTCATTCAAGATCCAAGGAGGGTCGCAATATTTTGTGACTTAAGGTGGAAAATGCTTAGCACAGCCTCAGATATCAAGGAACAAAGCCTAACAACCTCTTCACATGGGCTTACTCTTCACAAAGGAGAGATAGAGAACAACTCTCCTGATGAGTTGAAGTTTCTAGCTGAACGTTCAGTGTTTTGTTGCATTATTGCTACTGCAGCGATTGCCACTTAAAGACAATCAAACCAGCAATTACCCTGACTGAAACCACAGTGTATTATCTGAGATGGCATGATTTTTCTCCTACACTTTATAGCATATAACTTTAAGCCAAATCTGATTATCAACTACAGGCAGTCCCCGGGTTACGTACAAGATAGGGACTGTAGGTTTGTTCTTAAGTTGAATCTGTATGTAAGTCGGAACTGGCGTCCAGATTCAGCCACTGCTGAAACTGATCAGTTTCAACAGCGG